ACATTCCACAGCTCTGACATTATGCAGGATCTGTTAGAAAATGCTGATTAAGACTTAAAATTTAGATATGGCTCTTTGCTTCACATCCCACTCTTCCATGAAGTCATTCCAAACATCGCTGATGTCCTATGATGAACAAAAAAAAAAAACCACTTTGTCCACCTAAATTGGCAGTTATGTGAGTGACATTACAACGTTACCTAACTCTTATACTATTAACTTTCTTTTCCATGTTTTCCCTTCTTCTCTAAATTCAGTATCTAAGGGGCAAGAACATTTTACTTTGTGTCTCTGTATCCCTCTTCCATCAACCACAGTGCCTTGTGGCTATTGATAACGGAATAATACTTGGCTGGCACTGTGGGGAAATATGATTGCTACAAATATCCTGGAGGGCAATTTGGCAGTATCTGAAAGTGAAGAAAAAAAAGAGAGAGGAGAGAGGCAGAGAGACAGGCCAACAAAGGAAGAAAGGAATAGAGGACACACAGGAGCGAGAGGCAGAGAGGCCAACAAAGGAAGAAAGGAATAGAGGACACACATATATTCATACACAAATGTGCATCACAGCATTTTTTAAATCACAGAACATTTAAGCAGCCTAAATGTCCATTAATAAGAAATGGACCAAAGAGAGTATTTCCATACATTGGATGGACTGGCAGCTTTAAATACTAAGTAAACCTATATTAATTGACATGGGAAGATGTCCACACTTTATTTAATGAAAAAATAATTTTTTTTTAATTTAGTGTCTTATAAGTTAAACCATATACCCAATATAAGATCTATACTAATAATTAACAGTGGTCATCTCTTAGAGATGGGAGAATGGGTGATTTTTCACCTTCTTTATGCTTATTTGAATTGTCTTTTTTTATTTTAACAATGAGCATGTAAGCGTGCATTTATTTTTAGTCTCAAAAATAACAGACTTCAAAAAAAAATGTTAAGTTGGTGGTTGCCTGGTGGGCCTTCCATCAAGGTGGCTGCTTACTTGGAAATCTAAGGGCTCCTTGAGGAATACAGAATGAAAACCACAAGAGATGATCTTGAACTTCCTTCCAGCTCTAACACTTAAAATTGCAAATATTTCCTCTCTCCGATATTTGCTTACCACTGAGGTGAGAGGTAGTTTTCCCATCACTGTAACAGAAATAGATAAAAATGCTCTCCTTCCACTTTCCCCATGTACATTTGCAATCTGCATTGTTCTTTTCAATGACTGCTTAAGATTCCATGGAACCTATTTGTATTTAATGTTCAGCCTATTTTCAGTCCTTCTAGCTGACAACAATCATCAGGGACATTTTATTTGTACTTTTGCTTTGTGACAACTGGCACTTTTTTTTATCTCCCCTTCTAGACCGTGATAAAGTGTTTTGATGGAGGCGACAAGCGCTTTATCTTAAATATCTCTATAACCTCCATACGAGTTTGGCATAGAATAACATTAATAAATATTGAGTGAATGAATGATTGAGGACATTCACTGTTGTAGATAACGCTGTTATAAATGTGATGAAATGGCTTTTTCTTCCACTATGTTTTCGTAGGCTTATTTTGAGCCATTCACAGTTAGTAAACATTTGAGTGATGACTTGCTCTCCAGCCCTAAGAGGTAGATGGCACCAGGTGCAAGGACACAACCTCATATGACATAGAGCATCTCTCTGTACTTGTGGACTTGACATCTAGAAGCAGGATTATTGCTCTGAACATGCCTTCATTTTCATACAACTATTTCTCTTTTCATTTTTGGGAAGAGGGCGGTCTCAATTTCTCAGCTTCTTTTATTGGATATCCTTCAACATCCATTCCATGCTGCCCACAAGTGTGACACTCTGAGGGGTGACCACTGTCTTAAATTTTAAGTCTTTATTTCTTGTAATAATAAGCGGAGAAGTCCCAAGATAGAGAACAAAACAATAGAAAAAGATTTAAACTATAATTATGTACCCAAACCCTAAGCGCTGGTGGTCTGGAAGCTCACCCATCATGAAGAGCATCCACTCCTTCCCTTCAAATGTGGACAGCAGCCTCTCCCACTGGGCTTGCCAGAAGTGGCCAGAAGCACCCCAAAATCTCTGAAGATGCCTTGGAAGAAAAATCACTCAGGTTTCTGGGTGAAGACTAGTGGGCAAAGAGCCCCTCATTTCATTCTCTGCCCTCAGACCACCACCGCACTGCCCCCAGAGCCTGAATTAAAGCTGGCCCAGCAGACTCACCATGTGACTGAGTTCCAGAAGGCCACAAGCAAGAGAAGGCCAGAGCCCAGGATGAAAGCTGTCCTCCTCATGGAGCCCCAGATATGTCCCTCCTGGCGAGGACAAGAAAGTGTCAGGCCCCAGCAAGCCTCTTGCCTTCACACACAGCTCACTGCTGAGGCCTGACAGGAGCGATGTGTACTCAAGATTTCAATCACACCAGCACTGAAACATCTGCTGACCTTTTCTCAGTGTCTGTGGCAGGCTTGTCCTTATCAAGAGCTTTCAGGTGGCATATGGGTGTGTTTATGAAAATTAGAGCTCAAGGTTGAGGGAGGAAAGGGAACCAATCTGACTCCAGAGAAACTGGCAGGCAATCCTAGCACCCACAGAAGGGCAGGTGAGCCTTCCAATAGCTGTGGGATTTTGTCACCAGTCCTCTAGTTGAACAAAGATGCTCATTATGTGGGCACTGCAATCACCTGGGAGCTTTTTAAAAATCCAGTTGTCCAGGCCCTTCCCGAACCTAACTACATTAGTATCTCTGGGGCGGAGCCTGGGCCTTAGGTTTTTAAAAGCTCCCCAGCTAATTCCAATGGGCAGGCGAGGCTGAGACTGCTGTCACAGAAGGATCTGCAGAATCCTTACTGAGGACATAGGCACTTCACTGTATTCATAGGCCCAGCAGGCTATTTTCCCATCCCCATTACCCTCTTGCCCTTGAAGAAAAGAGTGAGTGAACATGCGGTCTGACTTTTAATAATTCCTCTGCCTTCCAGCAAGATTAGCCAAGGTTGCCAGCAGTTCTAGGGGCAAAGAACAGACCACTGGCAATCATTGGGAGGTTCTTATTATTTTCTCCTCCAAGAGCCTAAAGCAGAGATCACTGCAAGTACAATGCTCAAACGAGAAGGTCTCAGACATGAAGAAGGACAATAATGGCTGTCAGGTGAGTCACCGATTCCCATTATGCCATAGTCAGGAATTACAAATGTCCCTCACATCTCATGTTTCTAAGCCCAGTTGTAGTCTGCTCATCCTCTCTTCGTGGGAGAGAACTGGAAGGTGGCAGTCCCTACACATATGTGCCTGAGGCTCATCTGAAGTCGGTGAATTGGGCCACGTTTGAGGGGTCGGGGCTGTCATGGGGGTCAGCTGATTAAAATCATTCTAATCCAGACTTTTGAGATCTGAAGAAGCAGATTGTTTTCACTGACTCATTCACAGCAATCCGCACTGAATCATTTCCTCTTGGCTTACCCCATCCCTCTTTTGATCACAAGACCAAAGAGAAGTGGGTCATTTTCCATGGCCAGTGAAAAGTTTTTGAAGGGCTAGTGTTCTTCAGGGTCTTGAGCTCTGGAAATGAGCTTCTCTTTCTCAGTCTCTCCCTCTCTTTC